CAAGTGGAGGAGTGGGGAATCAAACCCGGTTCTCCCAGATTAGAGTCCGCGCACTTAACTGCTATACCAAACTGGAGGGAGGGAGAGAGGGAGAGGGCCTAGAGAGGCAAAACATGACCAAGTTCCTAGTGAAACGAGAGCCGATGCGATGGGGTGGTTCCAGTGCTGGACTGGGGAGATCTGGGTTCAAACGCCCACTCGCCCTGAAGCGCCCTTGGGCTGCTCACGCACTTGCACCCTGACCTACTGCACAGCGTTGTTGTAAGGATAAACTGAGGAGGAAGGAAAAGCCGTATATGTCACTTAAAGTTGTTTCGTGAAGGGCGGGACAGAAAAGTGACTAAAAACAGAATAGGGTGGAAGCTTAACAAACCACACCTCGTGTGAGATCAATTCTTTGCTTAGCGTCTTTACAGAAACCAACCACCGCCAGATTACAGTTCTAGCATACGTGAGTGTTAGATTACCCATTTATTTCCAGATAGCTCAAGACGGGTAGGCGTGTTAGTCTGCCTGTAGCAGCAGACAAGAGCCAGAGGGGAGCACTTTATATATGGTAAAATTGTCTCTCACCAAAAAAGTTTTCAAGCAACTTGGTTCCCAGTGGTGAACTATCTAGCAGAAGAAAAAGTGATTCCAAACAACTCTTATTACAAAGATCTGTTATATTTTTAAAAGGGCTCTTAAGGGTTGAGAAAGTTGATTATTGCATAGCGTCAATATATGTTATGAATGTACTGTTGTATATATTGTTCAAAATAAAAAACACTTATTGGAAAAAAAAGATTAAAAAAAAACACAAACGGTTGCAGGGTAACAGCTTTCGGGAGTCGCTGCTATCTGAAGAAGTGAGCAGTGGCTCATGAATGCTTGTACTCTGCCACAAATTTTGTTAGATGAGAGAGAAGACGAGATTGGATTTATACCCCGCCCTTCACTACCTGAAGGAGTCTCAGAACGGCTTACAATCCCTTTCCCTTCCCCTCCCCACAACAGACACCCTGTGAGGTAGGTGGGGCTGAGAGAGCTCTTTCAAGGACTGCTCCTGAGAGAACGGCTCTGAGAGAACTTGTGACTGGCCCAAGGTCACACCAGCAGCTGCATGTGGAGGAGTGGGGAATCGAACCCGGTTCTCCCAGATTAGAGTCTTAACCACGACGCCAAACTGGCTCTCTTTAGTCTTTAAGGTCTTTAGTCTTTGCGGTGCTGTTGGACTCTTGCTCTTTTCTGTCACTTATTTCCAGTATCTCCAACAAGCAGAGCCTGTAGAAAGAAAACCAATCCTGCTCCACCAAACAAAGAAAAGCAGTCCCAAGAGAGCCAATCCCACTTAACCCACAGAACCCACATGGCGTAGTGGTTATAGGGTTGGCCTCTGACCAGGGAAACCTGAGTTCCAATCCCTGCTGTTCTGCCAGGAAGCAAAGAAGGTAACCATTGAGCCGCCAACTGTTCTCTTACAACCAGTGTTCCCTCTCAGCTGAGTTAGTGTGAGCCAGCTCACAGTTATTTTAGCCTCCGGCTCACCCGTTTTTGTCTTCGCTCAGGAAGGATGGGGCTCCAAAGCAAACTAATTTACACAGTAGCCAAATCACTTGCTCATGACTTTAAAATCGCAAAGTAGAATTTTTGCTAACAGGACTCCACAGCTTACGAGGCAGCATTGCTTACAACCTATCCTACATCACGGGGCTGCTGTGGGGAGGAAATACCTGGAGTTAAGAGGGCAGCCAGGATTTAAAATACACGAAATAAAATGAATGAAATACAAGGCCGCTATCCTGAGCTCTTCAGAGAACGGGCGGTGCGAGGGGAAAAGCACCCCTGGCCTCCCTCCTCAAGGGTTAATGTAAACAGAGAGGGGGTCTAGTCCATTTTGCAGGTGTTACTAATTGGTCTCTTGGCCTTATCCGCTTCAAGGCCAGAGATGAAGGTGGCGTGACTTGCTTCTCGTGGGAGCCCGCCCGCAGGTGTGTGTGTGTGGGGGGAGAGTCAGGGTGGTGAGGTAATTTTCTAGGAGCGTCTCTGAAGAACGCGTTCCGATCGGATGTCGTCATCGCCTGAGGCTACTGGGCCAAAAATTACAATTGAACTAAGGCCCTGAAGGACAGGAGCTAGCCAAGATCCCGATGGACTCAAGGCCTGAACGATTATCTGCTTGAATTGCAATTGCCAGAAACGTAGAGAACACCAAAGCCCTGACCTTTGATTCTGACTTTAAGGTTGGTGCCATCTAACAGAAGAAGAAGAACAAGAAGAAGAAGAGGAGGAGGGGGAGTAGGAGGAGGAGGAGGAGAAGATTGGGTTAATAC